CATGGGGAGCGGTGAGTCAGGGAGACTAGGCTGGGGTTGACCTTGGGGGCTGGATGGGAGAGATGTGAGTTATGTGTGTCTGTCCCCGTCATGGAGACCTGGACTGTAATTATATTGGACCCACCTGCTTACTGGTTAAACCACAATACTCTCCCAGTCTCCTGATCTTTCATTTAATCTGCAAAGTCTTTTTTTTTTTTTTTTTACCATGTGACAAATTCACATGGGGATGAAGATGTGCACATCTTTGAGAGGCCCGTCCCTTGTCCACCACACTTCGTAAGGCCATCTCCACTCTTGGCTCATTGCTCATTACACAGAGCACATGGCAGCCTGGCCTTGGTCATCCTGATTATGGTGTCATTTTCCGCAATAATATTTACAGCCCCCTCCAGGTCCTGAGAGAGGGAGACAGAGGCCACTGAATGTTCCCCAATAGCTCTCCACCTTCTCTTTGGTAATAATGATAGCTTTTTGAAATGGAAAGACTGTAAGCTATAGTTCTGTTTTGGGGGGGAGCGGGGGAGAGAGGGAGGGAGAGAGGGAGAGAGAGAGAGAGAGAGCACAAGCGAGCCTGAGCGCAGATGGAACCAGAAAATCCTCTCACCCGCCCTTCAGTAGCTTGTGCTTTTCAGCACCACGGACAGTGACTCAGAGACTCGACTTCCCAGGGGCTGCAGCAGGGAGCCCGCAGGTAGGGAGGGACTGCAGGACAAGCCAGCCATTCTGTTCTACCCGAGAAATACGCAAGGGGGGAGAATCTGATTCTTCTCTAATTTCTCTGATTTATATATTGTGACCCCTTTGCATGCATCTGGGTGTATGATTGTTGGCACATCCATTGCCACTCCCTGCAGGGACGATTTTGCACCCGGGGTGTGACTCCGGCGAGGCTGACAGCCCATGCTGGCCTCCTGGCGAGTATCCTTGGCCCAGAGACTCAGGCTGCTATTCTGCCTACAATGTGGTGGGAACATTCCATGATTAATTTCTGCCCCTACCGCCCCCCCCACCTTGCCTGACCTTGGAAGCTCACCCATCACCCAGCCAGAGCAGCCCCTGAACAAAGCGTCCTGCTCCCCAGCCCCAGCTGAGCCCCAGGAAGCTGAGCTGGGCCGCCGGGCTACTCTGGCAGCTGCTCCGGGCCGAGCCTTGTCACCCCATTTTATTCATTTCTGC